AAATAAAAATGCTGCTCTTTCCAACTCTCCATTTCAAGTGAACTGTCTCAATAAATTTTATTGTTTAGTCTCATCTGGTTTATTTATGTACTTCATTTGTCAATAACATTTGGCTAACATATTAGAATCTACAACAGTAAAACCCATGTTTTTATAATTATATCCACAGGGGCAAGTACGTTTCAACTGACATGGTATTTAAAGAAATCACACAGGCTTCTGATACTTCATTCACATACTTCATTATATAGCCTCTTTATTTCTGTTTTACAAAAAGACATTTATAAATATTACACAAACTATTTTAAAACCTCATCACTGATTTTTCCTCTCTGCTCTTCCATTCTTCTCCAAAAATGGAAGGAAAATACAGTTTCTTCTATGTCAGTATATCAGTAGAGATTCATACAATCTACCAGAGACCATAAGTTCCTTAAGGGTAGGCTATCCTATATCTATAACCTCTACAGCTAATAGAACTAGCACATTGTATACAATAATGTTAGTTGAACCGAATTCTATAAGCTATAATTTTTTTAAAAAAAACTCATGATTTCCTAGTAATAATGGAATGAGTTCTAAAAAACTGAAATGCAAATGTTAAGAAGAGAAGTCATAAGTCAGGTGAAGTTCATATTTCTTCAATCAATATGCATTTTTTTCAGATCTAGAAGACACTTTCCATTTAAGAGATTAACTAAAAACTCTATAAAGATTCTGTTTTCTTAAAGATTACATTCTGCTAGCTAATGTTAGAACTAAAACTAGAACCAGATTCTGCATCCCATGCTCTAGTTTGGTCACTTAAAAAGAATCATCAACATGCTAATTACTTTAAATCAGCTGGTATTTAAACTGAGAAACTACATTGGACAAAGAATACAGTTTAAGACTTTAAAAGAGAAAATAGAAATACATTAGAAAGACTATGGGCTTCTAATCTTGGCTCTTCCAATTATTAGTTGATTGACTTTGGTAAATTTACTTAACCTCTTTGAATCTCTCTTCATTTGTAAAATAAAGACAATAAGGCTTGCTATGAGAAGTAAAGGCAAGAATAGGCTAGGATTATGATAAACTCCCAAAATATGCTAGTTATCTTCCATTAAAATGGACAGTTGGTGTCCAAGAATAAGTAAATAAATCAGGTAGTCTTCTGAAAATGTGAGAACTTTAGTAAAAAGGTATGAAAAACTTTAATAAAAGCTATATTAAATATATTTATACTATATAACTTGACATTTTTGACTAATCTATTATTGATATGAAGCATTCACATATTAGAAATGGAGTAAAAGTTTTGTAGGCTAATGAATGTTTTATAGATATTTCTGCATAATTATTTCAACTGCTAGAACTTTTTCCATCTTACTATGATTTCACATTATGTACTTACATAATATACATAAGTACATAATGTAATAATATGTACCATATATTATATATAACAGATGTTACTATACATACTTATCACTAATCTAATCCTAATAAATAGCCCAACAAGGTGGGTACTGTCATTCCTGTTTTATAGCTGAGAACAGAGGTTTAGTAATAGTAAAAAACGTTCAGAATTACATGCTTTCTTGGGCAATCCCATCCATTTTCTTCTATTTACTTTAGCATAACCCCAACATAACAGGGTCTAAAAAATTCAATTGCATAAACTGAGAGATTAATGAAAAATAGATTTCAGTTAACTTATATGGTATTTCTCTCTCTCCCTCTCCATCTCTCTGTCTCTCTCTCATATACACCCCACAAAAATAAACTAGTAACACATACACTGTACAAAACTAAACATACACTGAACTGACAATGAAACATCTTTTTAACCAAACCAAGGCCCTTGCTAAGGACATGAATTTTAGCTTCCCATTTAAGAACAAAGGGTTAAAGGCAGAAAAAAGCCAGCTGACAATCTCATGACATCCTAATTCCTATTATTGTGCCATGTATTATCACTAGCTTTTATTATACCTCAAAGCTAATGACTCACAAGTCTCTATTTTCAGCTCCAACCCTGCCTGAGTTTCTTTTCAAGTATCTCTCTGATGGCTTTCTTGGTGCGTTCCTCATCTCAATTAATTTACCAATATCCACCCAGAAAACTGCCATCGTAATTGATCCCCTTTTTTTGTGCCAATTCACTGACAAGGTCTGCCTATTTTTTCTTTGTATTTAGTTGAATCCAACCTTTACATCAACTAGTTCAGGCCCTCAGCATCCCTGAAAGGACAACTGAAATAGAATCCTTATATGCCTGATCCCCTCACCAGCAAATCCACACTGCCATTAGTTATCTGAAATGCACATGTGACCATGACATTCCTTTTCTTAAATCCTCTCATCTCCATAGATGAAATCTAATCTCTTTAGCAGGGCAAACCAAACCCTTAAGTTCTATCTGTTTATCTTGCTTGTAGTATAGAATCATACAATAAATACCAATTATTAGTAATAAGCCATATTGGTGCTTTATTTACCCATTCCCTCCACCTGGGCATAGCCTGCATTCATCTTTACCTGGAAAGCTGATACATTCCCCAACTCGGCTGCTCCAGAAACCTGTCCTATGCTCTATGCTCTCACAGTATTTTGTGCACAATGCCATTAAAAAATGGCAGTCTAGTATCACTCCCCACTAGACTGAAAGGCTTTTCGTAGGCATGGCCCATATCCTATTCTTTAGTAGATCCCTCCATTTAGCACAGTCTATCACAGAGTAGCCACTCATTGAATGGTTTTTAACCAAACATTTGAATATTGATAATAAGTGGTGAACTAGAGTATGAACCTAATCTCTGTAACTCCAAAGCTTAGCTTCTTTCCACTATACCATTCTGACTCCGGCTTTGCTCTTTGCTAATAAAGCCCAAACCTAAATAAACTTAATGCAAACTATCACTAGTATCTTCCAGATTTTTCCTTTGTACTCTAAGATTAAATTTGGGTTTCACATTTTATGCCCTGAAGAATTAGAAATACTTTAAACAATAAACTTTCTATGTTGCACAACTAAAAATACTTATAAAAGAATAGCAGTAACAAGAAAAATTCAGGTGTCTATAGAAAATAGGAAAATCATATAGTCATGAATGATTTAGTACCATCAAAAATACTATCAGAAAAATAAGAAAACTAAGTTTCCAATAAGGAGCTGAAATGAATCAAAGGATTTACATAATTCTATTTGGATGTCATGCAGATTGTTACTTACAAAATAGAAATGAATCTAATACTCAACCAACAACCAAGTGATTTGAAGAAATAAATGCATTTGAAGATAATGAAAACAAAGGATAAATCAATGAGTTAATGAACTCCAAAAGACTCATGAATGTAACCAAAACATAATTCAATCTGTAATGTTTTTTAAAAAAATGCCAAATATAGATAGCCAAGATTAGAAACTGGACACGAGTTAAAGTACACAATAAAGGAAAACTTAAAGTTCATACTCTATCCTATTTCTCATATAAAAAACGAATGCAATCCTAAAACAAATACTGTTGTTAGGGTCAGATGTCATCAATATTCAAGTACTAAAAGAAGGCAGAAGAAATAATCAATCATTAAAAAGTATTACTATCTCTGCCCCACCCCCCCACCGCCAACCACCACCAAAAATAAACCAACAAACGACTAACATACACAAAAGCTGAATCTTTTGATCTGAAACACAATGGTTCGTTCTTGGTAGTTCAGTTTTTCAATACTGTTTTCACTCACTGGATTTATTGACTGATCCATTTTTAGAATATTATGCATGGTTTTTAAAAGTCTTTATTATAATTAGGTTTTGTATCTATTTGTAATTAAAGGAAACCTACTTCCTGGGCCAAAATTTGTACAGAAGTTGTATTCTTATAATATTAACTAACATTTAAATAGTGCTTTTCTATTTTTCCTACATTAAATATTTTATCACTATTCACTCTTTTAATCCTTAAAATAGCTCTAGGCGGTAATACTTACAAGATGGAAACCTAAATACCTAGCCTCACAAATAGTAACTGGCAAAGTTAGAATTAAACATAGGCAGCCTCGTTTTCTTCATCAATCCTTTTCCATGAAATTTACATCTTAAATTTCATGCTTTCTTCTTCACGTTTCCTTTCTGTAGAGACTTAACTTTTTTCACTACTTATTACACACTCACTAATCATGGGACGTACAACTTAAAATACTCTATCTTAAATAATAGTTTTGCTTTCGTTTCATTTCGTCTTAAACTTAAAAAACTGAATGATAAAAAACTATTTTTTCCGAATTTATAAATCAGTATGTCTCTCTAAGAAATACTGGAATCTCCCCATGTCAAATACAGTTCTTTTACAGAGACATCCAGAGATGGCATTCGCATTACCTGCTTCAAATAGGTTGTTGCAAAAGACTGATTTTACATGAGCATTCCTCTATTTTTACCTTTCTTTCTCTCCAAAGCTATTATTTGAAATTTACGAACAATCGATTCCCTTATTCTAGAGCAATTTTTCGGTTTCTAACTTCATATACTCAACAATTACACAAAAACACATCTTTTCCTTTTCACTCTCTTAAATCACGGCAAGTTTCACTGACGATCTAGCGCCACCTAGGTTGCGTTTGCTAATCCGCGCTGGTTGCTGCTTGCTTTTCCAAGGAGTGCGCGAGAACCTTCCAGAAGGTTTTGGTCACACGGAAGCGTCGGCCATGTTGATTTTCCTCCCCCGTGGAGGTCCATTCTGTTCGCCTTTGAAATTGGAGACGCTGGGGTCCTGCGGAGCCAGGGCGGAGGCTGACAACGTCAGGCTCTGGGAAGGATTTACATTTCCAAGAGGGATGCGCTCTAAGGGCTCTAAGTGCCGAAGCGACGCGCGCTTCCTCGGGAATGGCTCACCCTGGGGCGGCGCAAACGCATCTGAATTGCAGAACGTCAGGAAACGACGGCCGACTGGACATCCTGCCAAGAGACGGGCGAGGGGCGGGTGTGTCGAGCGAGATCGGAAACCTGTACTTACCAGTGCGAGGCGTTGCCTGACTTTTCCTCTGCGGCTTTCAAGAAGACCCTCTGTAGGTTATTGGACATTTTAGAAGGGTGGGAAGGGCCAGCACATCCAGGACAGTGGGCAGTGTGGGGCCGGGAAACAGAGCGAGAGAATGCTGGGCTGGAGTTGCTCCGGAGCAACTCTGAGGGGGTTCGATGCTGAGACGAGGGCGACGACGAGCTCTCGAGAGGGCGTTTCCTCCGAGCTTCGGAGGGACGCGGCGCAGCTACCGGAAACCGGAAGAACGGGACGCGACTGACCGCGCGGGCCGGGCCTTAGGCTCTGAGAGAATCCTTCCGAATCTCCGCCCCTCAGACCTTACGATGTCGCTACAAAGCCACCCGGAGTCGGCGCGGGAGGCGTGGCCTTAATGGCACCGCCCCCATCAGTGCTGGTTCTGGTGAAGACGCGCCCGCCGGAGCGAAGTACAGCCAGCGGCTTCCGGGATCGTCACATCCGGTTGTTAACGTGATTGGCTCAAAAAAGCTCCGCCTATATGACACAATCCAATCGCAAGTGATGTTTGCTATCTCTTCTTCCGGATCAAGTAACGTATTGCAAAAGAAATTCTTCAGATACCTACGCGAAATAAAATGTTTCCGGGGTCAATTGTAAATTTCTGCTTTTGTGTTCCCCGCTAGTGTAATTTTATCTTTCTCGCCAGTGCTTTAAAAGACATCCGAGAGGTCTTTTGAAATCGTCATGCACTCGTGGCATGAGAACACTTTAAATGCCTGCCTGCAGCCTGCGCCGTATTATTGCTAATTCCTGAAGATTTCTCGGTTATTTCCTCGTTACTGAAGCTTTGCCTATACACTAAACCTAACGTCTTTTTCCACCCCACTCATGCCTTGGTCAAAATTATTATTTATTATCATATAGCTAATTCGTTCATTCTATACAAGTTTCGCTTCCCATACAGACATTTGGGGGGCATCTTTATTTGGATCTCCACAGAAAAGTTTTTTCAGAAGTCTCTTGATTCCAGCTATTCAGTCACTTATCGGAGAAACAGGTTCAGTCTTTGGCTTAAGGGGTAGACATTCGCCTTCAGCTGGGGACAAAAGGCGTTGTGGAATGAATGGTTTGAACGGTTTAGTAGAAGATCCAGCTTTACCAAGTATAGACACTACCTGTGTAACTTACTCACACTGTTTAAGTTTAGGAGCTCGACATGAGGTAGCCAATTTTAAGGTTTATGTTGTTCTTTTAAAGATGCTGGTTACTCGTTCCCCTAATTCCTTAGTGAGGTAATACTGACGTCCTGATACATTAACAGAAAGCAGTGCTTTCTAACTACTCTTTACTCTGCTAAAGGTTAATTTCAACAATATAGAATCCTGTATATTTAACTGAAATTTATCTTTTAGTCAAATGTCCAAAACTGGTAAGCCGTTACTACTGTCTTGGTTTTGGTCATCTCCTATCTGTGAAAGCAAAATCACATGAACAAGCTTCCCCTTCTAGCTTGTTCCATTTTCTTACCATTTACTTTATCCTCTTTGCAGTGTGGCTTCTCTTTATATCTATCACCGCTTCCTATAAATGAAACTTATTGTCACAGCTTGGATTCCCTGAAAAGCAGACATTTTTATGGTGATATTGGTTAACGAAATCCAATAAGTTTCAGCTGTGCACTTTAACAAAACGCGCGCGCGCACATACACACACACACACATTTACACTGTTCACCTCGCATAGTTAGATTTCTTTCTGACATCACATATTGGACCCCATTTACCCCATGAACCTACCCGCTCTCCCCACCCCTTACCCTCTGGCAATTGTCTATAGTACATCCCCATGAGTCTCTGTTAGTTTGTCCTGTTCATTTGTCCACATATTGGACCCCATTTACCCCGTCAACCTACCCGCTCCCCCCACCCCTTACCCTCTGGCAACTGTCTATAGTACATGCCCATGAGTCTCTGTTAGTTTGTCCTGTTCATTCGTTGCTTTTAGGTTTACATCCCACATATAAAGTGATATCATGTATTTTCAACTTTTTCTGTTTGGCTTATTTCGCTTAGCATGATTATCTCGAGGTCCATCCATACTGTCACAAATGGCAGTATTTCATCTCTTCTTATGGCTAAGTAATATTCCATTGTATGAATGTACCACAGCTTCTTTAGCCAATCATCTATTGTAGGACACTTCGG